AAGCCCGCGAAACACAGTCTCCGTTTGCGCACGGTGGCCTCGATGGTTTCCTCGCAGCCTGCCTGGATGAGGGCCTGGGCATAGGACAAGTATAATTCTTTGTTTTTGACTGCATGAGGTGACGACGTTTTCTCGAGAGTTGCTTGTTAAGACTCTTTAGTGAAGTTCCATAGTCATAAGAAGAAGGAGTAACCTGAAATTAGAGTATTCGATAGATCCGGGAGTTGAGATGATTTGTGGATACAAAAGGTGAATGGTTTTTGAATTGTTGCCGTTTTACTTGGCGATATATGTACGGGGGATCTCGTAATCGTGTCTCGTACCGAGTAGGGGGGCTGTTTGTGTGTGTACTCGGCAGGATACGAATCTCCGAGATCTCCGGGGGTTACGCAGATAGATATTGTACATGATGGGTGTGATGGACTTGACGCGTAGGCTCTGCTTGCCTGCCCATGTCTCTCACTCGTTAATAGTTAATCAAGGAACTTGAGTCACTCCTTTGTGCAACACGCTCTCGATAAACGCCCGCGAGCGTGAAAACATAGTACACGCGCCGACACCCCAAACATATCGAAACACCATTGCAAGGGCTGCGAGCTGTACTCCATACTGCCGTACGGAAGGCCGTCTGGCTTGCAATCGGCTCGTGCTGTTGTTCTATACCGTGCTGCCGGGAATGCGAGTGCCAGACTTGTAATTCCTCCGCTCCGTCGTAGCAGCAGTGCTGTCGTCTTTTTTGTCGCGCTGACATGCCATGGCACACGTGCTGTTGTTCCCGATTTTCGAGTTCAGAACGGCACACAGCAACAAATAGACATCTTAATTTTATACCGACACATGTGTTTCGTTTTTTGCTGCTCCGCCGTACACGCCCGTCTCCCGTTCGTCGCTGCTGCTGCGGCGACAGGTGTGCGCGGCCCTGAAGGTTTTAGCATCGGGAAAATCCTGCCAGGACGTCGCCACCTTCTCTGGGATGAGCGTCGCGACCGCCGAGAAATCATTACACCACTTCTGCGAGAAGTTTTCGGCGGCGCTCTGGGACACGTGGGTTAAACTCCCGGTTGGAGACGAGCTGAAGGAGGTGGAGCGGGTCTTTCGGAAGAGCGGCTATCCGGGGGCGATAGGTTCGACGGACTGCACTCACTTCAGGTGGCCTGGCGGACCCTATTCGGAGGCTCGCATGAACACCGGCAAGGAGGGTTACCCGACTGAGGTCGTGGAGGCGACATGCGACCACACCGGTGAGTTTTGTTCGGGCAGCACCTCCTCTTGGCTCTTTGTGTGTGTAGACATACATGTAGACGAATTTCCTACCGCTGAGGGCTCACGAGATTGCAGCATTTCCGATCCTGGCGCTCTATTGAGCCTAGAGCCCTTTTTTTGCGGTTTCTCCCAAGCAACCAAGTCTCCGCATGACACAAGACAAAGTACTTTACTGCCGTAGTGCCTCCCTTTCGATCCCGGCGAAAAGCGAGGGGGGGGCTAGCGACTGGTGTCGTGCACAGCTGTGTGCAGAACTACACTGCCCGAGAGCAAAGAAAAAAACATTAAGTGCGCTGCTGCTGTTGTTCGCATTCTTCATGGAAGGTACCTTGTTTTCGTTATTTTTTTGCGGAGAAACTCGTGGCTACCTACCGCACCTCTAGAGAAGTTCATTAGGAAAAATAACAAAACATAAAAAGACTACCTTTTCGAGGTATAACCACGGTCGAAGCAGTTTATTGTATTATATTAGACCGGACACAGGGACACTCCGCATCCCACAAACACACCAAGACAAGAACTTCTACCGTCAGCTGACTCCCAACGCCGTCTGGCAGAGCGTATCGCTGAAGGGTGGGTACCACGTGGGAGGAGGAAAGAGAGAGAGGGAGAGATGAAGCCGTTTGGTTGTTGTTGTTGCTTGTTTATTCAAATCACATTTCTCACTCAAGAGTAATTCGATACTCTTGTCCTCCGGCGCCGTCGCATCTCTCTTTCATCAATTCATTAATTCATTCATTGTGCGTCGTTCCTCTCATTCCAAACCTCTACCCGCACACACTTGCCATCGCCATACAACCTACGAGCGTAGCGGCGACCGCGAAGTGCCCTTGTATTCTTTCAGGATTCCCTGATGGCTCCAGCACTATTGTGACGACTGGTCATAATCTTTTGCTAGTTTTTGGAAATTAGCGATTTATATTTCACGGCTAATCGGAGAATCAACAACAACCAACCGCAGGCCGCATCATCGCAGCGACCAAGTCATTTCCCGGATCGGAGAACGACAAGACCATCATCCAACGCGACAAGTCCATCTGGCGAATCCGAGACGAGGAGCCGTGGAGCAGTCTCAAGTACAAGTTGTGCAACGCGGACGGCTCGGAGACGGAGTACAAGGATGCCTGACTAGTCGTGGCGGGGGGCTTTCAGAAGGTGAAAACCGTACTCACCGTAATCGTGAAGGTCAATGACGGCATCTATTTATCGGAAAGCCGTAGATGTGTCCCCGTTTTTTTGTCCCCCTTAGGGCCGTTGTTGTCGTTCGGGAAAACACGGATCAAATAAAACGAGAAGGGTTCTAGAATTTTTCCTTGTTCTCGTCGTGATTTCGTTGAGTGAGCTTTTGACGAATCGCGCGGTTTGCTGACACACAGCAGGTCGACTTGGTCTGCGCAGCACGAAAAATAGCACCCGGCACAAATGGCAGCGCACTTACTACGACCCACCCGGCCTGCCAATCAGAACAGTAGCGTGAAGGAGGTCCTGCTGCTCTCTGGCACGGTGCCGCCAAGTTGTGTTAAGTTGTTCTTTAGATCAAGAGCAGGCCTCTCGATTCATTTTTTTCGAACGGCTGTTTGGGGATGTGTCACACGTCTGCCACACACCTTTTTTGTAGCAGCAGTACCCACGAAGCAGCACAGCTCCGGGAGTGAAAATGGCAGGTCTTGCTGGCGTTTTGAGTGGTGTTTCAGCGCCCGCGGTGGGCCTGTCACATCCCGGCGTGAAATACAACGATCGGTGAAAGGAGCACGCAGTTAGTGTCCGGCCCTTGCTCCTTCCGCCGATCCGTTTCCACATGGATAAAAATGCCTCCGAACATCTGCACGCAAGAACCAAAGTTTTTTTTTTGTCGTGTAACTGTTACGACGACCTGTGTTGTTGTGTATTCAAGTACCCGACCCCCGCATTCCTTGTGTTGTCAGTGCGAGTAAATCGTTGGTGCTGGAGGAAATATTCGGACGGTGGTTTGTTTTTCTGGGTCTTGGAAAGACAGTATCTGGTTTGCGCTGCGGCAGGAACTACACCCCGTGGACCACGTCTCTCTCCCTTTTTTTTTTTTGCCCATACCAGATCCCGCTGCTTATACCACCCATCAAGGATCATGCCAGACGGTTGGAGAGCATGCGCAAGGACATCGAGTGCTGCTATGGAAGAGTGAAGGGACGCTTCCGCTTGTTCAAGGCAGGCATTCTCTGTAAGACCCGCGACAGCATCGACAGCGCATGGTTCACGGTGTGCATCCTCCACAACATGCTTCACCGCTACGACAAACTGGACGTCATGATGGAGGCGACCGGCTGGCAGGGATCGGCCGGGCCGTTGGGGGGGGGCGAGCCAGATGTAGTCACGGGGGACGACAACGACAGCGAGACACCTTCCCCAGGGTTCGAAGAGTTTCGCGCGAAGCTTGTCACCCACTTCTCTGTAGCATGGACCAGGAAGGAGGTTGTGTGGTTTCAGAGGGCAGCCGTATGAGAGGCGTAGACAGCCCCCAGATTACGGTTTGTCTGTTCTCTGTTCTCTTATCCCTGTCGTCAGCATAGGTAAGTAGGACAACTGCTTCCTGTGCGAGTTAGTCGTCGCCTCGATTGCGTAACTATTGCTCGTGTATTTTTAAGTTGGACATATTATCGGTAGGGAGGAGTAGATTTGTTTGCCTGACCAGCGAGAAGCCGACACGAACACCCCCCCCCGCAATATTAGGGTACCAAGTAGAATCGTGGTGTATCCTGCCGTTGGTGGTGGTGTTGACATGTTTTACTTGACTTATCCTGTTTTGCTTTTGCCTCACATAGCGTGGAGAGAGGATCAGAGGACTCCATGCTTTATGTTTTTGCCTAATACTAGTGTGAGCAAGCATGCCGTTAGTCTGTTGAGTACGCCGAGCGATCTCGCAGTGTTGGACCAGGACGGATGGAGAAACTGAGTAGAGAGATCGCAACGGGGATAAATGTGAAGATACCAACAACAACGTCATACCCCTGACACTTGGATAAGGCATGTATGTATGTGTCTCTCGACGTTTGTCGAGATGGTTGGCACCGCGAGTGGTTGTAGCTGAGGGATCAACGGTTCTTGTATTTTTGTATACCCTCCGCCTTCTCGGCTCAGCTGCTTCCAAAAGAACAAAATGGTGCGTTCTGATGTTTTCCCCTACCGGATGTGCCTTTAATTTTGGGCGTGCCGGTGAACTGCAATCTGTGTTTCTCCCCTACCACTTAATACTTAAATCTGCTAGGTGCCCGCAAAACAACAGCACCCCCTGCCTCCATCGTGTTTTCAGATTATAATTCAAAACAACTCGAAAAAAATCAGGAAAACGGGGTCTCCGCTTGATGATCTAGGCTACCCCCCGCTCCCTCTCTTGGCCTTGTATGCGCCAATCTGCCATGCTCCCTCTACTGGTGTGTCTCCGCAAACGAGCAAAGGGGTAAGTCGGGATAAGCCGAGGCTTGGTCAACCTCCGACGCTAAAACCCAACCCCAATTTCAACGCAAAGCATTCGAAGGCATCACGAAAAAAGAGTTTCTCTACTAGTGCAAACGTAAATCACCCCCCCCCTCACACCCCCCGCGCAATCTAGACTTCAGTGGGTTGGCGCTGTTGGCAAAGCGCTGTAAAACACGCCACCCCAAATATAGCCCCCATAGTATGCGCTACCAAAGACGCGTGACGCATGGATGCGTGGAGTGAGGATTGCTTACGAAAACCTCACAGGTTGAGTGATGTNGAGTTTCTCTACTAGTGCAAACGTAAATCACCCCCCCCCTCACACCCCCCGCGCAATCTAGACTTCAGTGGGTTGGCGCTGTTGGCAAAGCGCTGTAAAACACGCCACCCCAAATATAGCCC